GAAGGGAAAATGACCTCAAACAGCCTTTATATCCTAGGGTACGTCTAAACTACATGCCTCCGTCGACGGAGGCATGTAGTCTAGACACACCCTCATTGTCTCCACTTGGCCCACTGGCATTTGTCTCTCCTCCAACCTGTCCCTTGGTGCCTTCCCCTTTCTTCTCCTCATCTGCCCCCCTCCCCTCAGCACAAGCCCCTTTCTCTCCCACCCCTTCCTCCTATTTTTCCCCCTTCCCCTCTCCCACCCTCTGCCTTCCAGTTTGCAGCACTGGAGACTGCGATCGGGCCCCAGTAGTCCCTGCAGCCCTGGTCCCAGCTGCTTCCGGGGCTCCAGACCACTTGTCGGGCCTGGAGCTGGGCTGCGTTTTTAAACTCTGGGCCGGGTGGTTTTAAAAATCCCAGGCCGTGACGTCATGCCACACCTGGGCGTCTCCCCTCTCAGATGTTGCGCGGCATTTGAGCACGCCACGCATACGCTTCCTCAGCCCCACCGTGCCCTGTACATGGTCAGCGCTGGGGAATTTAAAGCACGGGGCTGCAGCGCCCCGTCCAGCTGGCCCTTCGGCCCTTCAGAGGATGGCCCACCGGGAAATTCCTGTTATCCCACTGGGCCAGTCCACCCCTGGCTGAGTGTGCTCAACCTCCAGTGGGATTGGGACTCCAGTGATTCAGCTTTCATGGCAACGTTATTTATTGTTAAAAAAAAGAACAGAGGAGACAAAAATCGTTGTGTCCACTTGGGATGGGCACCAGTTGTAAAATTCAGTTCCAAGCTGAATCACTCCAAACTTCAGAGTGTTGAGACATAACGCTCTCGTTTGACTCATTAGGAAGATGGAAGCTGTGTGGGAGATTCAAATCTAGGTTTGAATTTTGAAATCTCCCCCCTCCCCCTGTTTATAGAAGATTCTACCCCTGCATTTCAGATTGAGCACTTGACTAGTTTCCCCCTCCCCCAGTTTATAGAAGGTTCTACCCCAGCATTTCAGATTGAGCACTTGACTAGTTTCACTTTTTTAGGCTCTGAATATCCGAGATCCAAATTAATTTCACTGCATAAGATCAAGCTCTCAGTTACTGTGCCTGACTAAGGATTCTACCAGGTGGAATTCACTGGAGTCCTACCAGCAGAGGCTTTGCTTGCAATGCACTGAATGACATCACACAACTGGGCAAATCATACCCATTTCTGGGCCATCCACATCCCCTCATTGTGGTTATGTGAGAGGCTCCCATTGGAATAGAAGTCACAGGTGACTGGCAGTTGCACCCCGCTCCGTCCCCTCATTGTGTTTATGTGAGAGGCTCTCATTGGAATAGGAGTCACAGGTGACTGGCAGTTGCACCCCGCTCCTAATAGACGTTTTGCACACATTTTGGTGATTTACAGCCTGGGTTGCTCCAGTTTGCCTCTGAAAGCAGTGAAATCAAATATATCACTGTGTGAAATTGTCAGCATGATCCTGTTTTAGCTGGGGTTTCATTGACATTTCTGGAGTCAACGGGCAGAGTAGCAAAAGTAAATATTTGTCACTCATTACCAAATGATAGTATGTATAAGATACCACATCAATGCTCGTGTGATAATGGAAGTTTCACAGAAGCTATTGTTTGGCAACAAGTGACCAATGTTTTTTTTTTAGTGATGACCTCTTAGGGAGGAGAGTAAGTATCACTATTCTTAGTTTATATATAGCGGAGTGTGGGGGTGGGGGAGGAAATGAGGCCCAGAGAAGTGACTTGGACTTCAGTGGAGGTACTCCTCTTAAGTGCAAGATCAGAATTGCTTATATTTTTAGAGGGATATTAGGTATGTATTTATATTGACATTATATAAAAATATCCCACTCTCAACACACCTATTAGCTAGCTGTATTTATTCCTATTTTTTTGTAATTCAGTCCAGTTGCTTGTGACTTCAAGGACATGGATAACAAGCAGTTTAAATTTAGAATCACAGCAGTACACTATAGTTAAGTATTTATTTTTTGAAGGGTTATCATTCTAGCCCTTACGGAAGAACAGTCTTCCATATAATTTGATTTTCCAGAGAGTACTTTAAATATGTAAGTCATCTATGAAGCTGGGCCTGTAATAGCTCAGAGGCAAACATTGTTCTAGGCAGATATATGCATTGTCTTCTAGACAGAGAGATGGGGAGACTAACTGCTCATGGCAAAAGACTTAAGTTTGTGTGACTGTCTGACATTCTTATCTTAATTATGTGTCCAATGCAACACTCTTTGCACAATGACCATCATCTTAGCAATTCAAAATCCTTTAAAGACTTAAGTGGGCATTGCATCAGGCCTTGTGTGACTAGAGAAACAGAAATAGGCATGAAAAGAGGAGTATACAATGAATGCAGATTTAAACAGTTTTGTTCCCATATTTACCTTTCAGAAGTCCATTTGGACCCATGCAGAACCTGGTGCCCTGCTACTGACTGCCAGACCATGTGCCACATCAAACTGAGTGACTCGGGACAACCAGTGCCTGTAGAATGCCCAGCTTGTAACCTGAAATTTTGCTCAGCCTGCAAAGAAGCATGGCACCCAGAGCGCTTGTGCCAGGAGAACCAACCAATTGTAATACCAACTGAGCAGGGGTAAGAGCAGAACTAAGCTAGGCTGTGCCTTCTGTCAGCTTTCCTACTGGTACAAAATGGGTCTCCAGTGCCACTTCTTCTATATGTGGCTGCCTTCTCCATGTTTTAGACTTACTTCTATGCATTACAGCAGTTGTGTTTTGAAATATAGTTCACGTGCCTTTGCACTAAGGAGCTCTAGCTATGGCTTTGGGAACTCCATTGGCCCAGTGTGGATTATCCAGTGCTTTGCACCTTTGTGCATGCCTTTCAAGCTTCGTCCACACGCACAAGTTATACTGCTTTATCTGTATCACTCTAGTTAAGGTGATGCAGCCTCCCTAGCGTGCATGAAGTTGCAGTCTAGCGCTCTAGTTATGATGATGCACCCTCCCTAGCGTGCATGAAGTTGCAGTCTAGCAATATAAAGGTGATTCATACTAGTATCACTTTTTCGTTAGGGAAGGGTGTCACAGCATCAATCACCACTAGTGAATCCTGATTATGCAAAGGATTATCTGATTCTAGGTTCAATGCCTCCTTCTCACTGCACATTTACCCTCCCTTCCTAGCTCTCTGAGCAAGATGCTCTGTGTTCATGGCTTAGTCCTTCAGGCAAATCACACCCATCCTCTCCTTCTGGGTATCAAAGGATGTTCTTAAAAATTGGCACATTCACTGCCTAGCCAGTGCCACTTCCCCCATGGCTGGTAGGGGAACCTGGACTCTGCCTTTACTCCAGGTTCCACCTCAGGGACCTTCTAATCAGTAGCTAAGGTTTCTTCCATTTCAGACCTTACTGCTTCTTCCCAGAGCCTTTCTTAGCCTTCTGGCTGCCCCCCTTCTCTGGTCTTGCCAATCCCAAAACTCCCTCCTCCTCAGTAGTAACCACAGGCTACTTGGATTCTCCAAACACACTTCCCTGGGTGTAACCTAGTTCCCTTTCTCATATACCATCTATAAAACCCACACCAGCTCATTCCTCCTCAGCTGGTCTCCCTTATTATTCAAGTACCATCTTCCTGCCTCTATAAAACCCACACTAGCTCATTCCTCCTCAGCTGGTCTCCCTTATTATTCAATCAGTTCAGACTTAAGCCATCTGATTCCCCTCTGCCATGGCCCATCTGGTTAATTGGCCCCCTTCTTAACCTACATCAAGCACTTCAGGGCAAGTGTTGGCATGAACACCCCACCACAAAGGGAATAAGCTATCCTATCACAAGGCATCTTTATAACAGCATAACGGTGTCTATACTAGGTGTTACAGTAATGTAACTATTTTGGTATTTTCCCCAATCAAAATAGGTGAACTGATTTAAAAACTATACATAGCCCAGGCCTAACTCTTGTGCAAAGTAGGTATTAAATTTTCCCACTGGTGTGCGGAATACTGATTTGGCAGCCATTTACACTCACTTTGCACAGATATAAATGATTGCACCAGGTATGGCTCTAATGCAGCTTTCTAGTGAGGCTACAGAATTTTGGAAATGGCTGTATGACTCTGAATTCTGTAAGTACTCTTGGGTTTACTTTATACCAGGTCTCTGACTAACTTGTGCTCACATAAATAATGGTATTCAGCGGCATGCACAGTGTAGTCTTTACACTCTCTGCTGCAGTCGAGTTTCCACCACTGTGAATATTTTTGCAAGAGCTGAAAGAAAAAAACCCTAAACCTTCTGCTTAGTGGGCAGGTGGGTGTGTGATCAAACAAGAACTGCTTATGAGAGCTACATATTATTTTTTAATCTGTAAGCTGGATCTTTGACTTTGCTTCAAGTTAAAACGGGCCTGCAGAAGCAAGACCAGTACTTTGAGTTACACAGAACAGTCATCTTTACAAACTACAGACATTCTTTTCCATGTTATTCTTTTCATGTTATATGCAGGACTGTTATGGGCGTTTACTTTATAATTATGACAACTTTGTGAGACAGAATTTAATTTGTCTCTCTGCTGAAATATGCTTCCTCCCCTCCCTCTGGCTCCTCTTGGTGTATGTTTCAATGCATTCCACTGAAAACCAGATTTTACACTTCCAGTACATTAAGAAGCTAACATCTGGAAACTTATGGAGCATGCCAGACCACAGAGCTGGGTGAAAGCTGAAATTTCATCTTTTAATATATTTCCTTACCCTTCTAGAACACTTACCAGGACTGACCCAGAGGCTCCAATCAAACAGTGCCCAGTGTGCCGGATCTATATTGAACGCAATGAAGGCTGTGCTCAAATGATGTGTAAGAACTGCAAACACACATTTTGCTGGTACTGCCTGCAGAACTTGGATGTAAGTGCCATGTCATGAAGGCTTTAGAGTAAGTCTAGTTAAGGTTTGGGAGGATAAGTTCCATATGTCATAACAAGAATCAGTATGTTCTAGTACTGTCCCTTTATGCTAAAGTTAAAATATAAGGCTCTTTCCTTGACTGAATATCTTTATATTTAAACGGATCCTCATGGTGGCCAAAATGTAACAATTTCTTTTGCATCCAATGAGCTTCAAAGAGATTTCTTTCTTTTCCTAAATGTAGAGGGATTGTAGCCAAATAACTTTGTACACTGGTAGTGTTCTTGGGGGAAGATGGATTGTCCAATACTGCAGCTAAAGGTAGAGGTTTTGGGAGTTAAGGACGGCAAATTTAGTTTTTTTTCCTTTCCTTCCCTCTCCCCACAAGACATTGGATGCCAATCTGTCAAAAAAATGTTCAAATACGGTGTGGCAACAGATAAAGGCTACAGTTTCAAATTGGGGTCAATTCAGAGCTTATTTAAAGCTCCATAGTTAGTCTCTGCTCCACAGTTTGTCTCTACTGCTGTATCAGCAGAAAAGAATGATCCAGTTAGTAAATGTGAGGATGAAAGTATTTCCATGTTCACATTTCATTAGGGGTACAAAGAAGAGTTCAAGTGGAGGGGAGAACAGGAAATCTGAACTTGGGGAACACAGTCATAATGAAAAGTGCCTCAATCTGCAAGTTGCCAAGCATTGCCAGCAAAACATCAAATATTCTCAACTTGCAGTGACTTTGAATTCCTGACAGGATTAGGTTGAAAACGAAGGACATGCTGGTGCACAATGATAACATCAGTGTTTGGCACTGTCAATAGTAATACTGGTGGGAGGTGACGAAAAGTACTTTTTGTACCAGCATTTGAGATAAAATAAATGTAAATGGATTTCTGGAATAGTTTGGCAATGATGAAACTTCCTCCTCCTTTTCTTTTCTCTATATGATAAACAGGGCGTGCTCAACTTTCTGTCCAGGCTGTTTATGGGTGCTGGGTTTTTTTTTCCAAATTTTTCTTGAGTGCATACAGTCCTCCATCCTGGTGTAAACTATGAAAAATTGGAGAGGTCTCAAGTTTCTATTAGAGTCTAAAAGCGTGAAGCTGTGATGGTGGTTAGCTGGTTTTAATGAGTCAAAGATAAGCCAATAAAGTGACTTCTTTGACAAGGTGTAGTCATTGCATAGTTACAATATACAATAGATTTCCAATAATCCGGCACCGTTGGGACCCAGAGGGTGCTGGATTATCGGATATGCAGGAGTATCAGGAGGTACTCCGGCGGGGGGCTGTGATGGGTCTGCTGGGACTCGCACTGCGACCGGGGTCGGCGGGGAACAGCGTGGCGAGGGGCGAACCCTCTGAGATTTTTCAGAGAGGTGCATAGTTACAATATACAATAGATTTCCAATAATCCGGCACCGTTGGGACCCAGAGGGTGCTGGATTATCGGATATGCAGGAGTATCAGGAGGTACTCCGGCGGGGGGCTGTGATGGGTCTGCTGGGACTCGCACTGCGACCGGGGTCGGCGGGGAACAGCGTGGCGAGGGGCGAACCCTCTGAGATTTTTCAGAGAGGTGGGGAAAGCCCCGCGCAG